CATTTCATGCGGGCTGCCAAGCAGCTTGTCCATTTAACATAGTAAAGGAGCATTAAATAAAGACTTGCCTTTGATTGCATCAACGTATCCCCTCACAAAGCTACGTTGGACGTACTCGTGCCCTAATCGCGCATGATCCAGTCCGTACACACCGTGCCGATTCTGATGAATCCCATGCGTCGAAATCCATCGACCTTGCAGTCGGGACAGAACTGTTATCTTGTCATCAAAAACCGCAACTCGGGCCAGCAAGCGCGAGGTTCTCGGCTTCACACTGAGGTCACCGTTCCGCACGCACACGCACACGCACACGCACCTGTTGCAACGGACAGCTGAACGGTGGCCGCACGTTACGTTCACTTTCCTGAAGTTGTAGGCGATACTGACGACGGAGGCCGTGGCGCAGTCTCTTTACCGGTACCGATCACTGCGGTGCGAGCTAATGCAGCTTTGACTGAGCACGGGAAGAGGTTCTGGGAAACCAACCCTCCAACGCAGACTTCTGAAGCAGATGCATCACCAGCTGAATTTCCGACGCGATTGGCCGGCGGCTTCGCATGCATATATTACCAGCATAACCCGGCATAGCACAGCGATTACTCTGTCAACAACACCGCGATACATGTGCCAAGAACGCGGTAAACGTGAAAAAAGCTAGCACCGCACATTGGCAGGCTAGGGACACCCGTCCAACTGACTGTGGATCTGGGGCCGCGGATCAGGTCATGCAAAGACACCACCACAGTCGCGGAGGCCAAAACAGCCACACCCCAATGACACGCATTGCCACGACACTCACACTAGGGACTCCAACATTATACTGAAAGCAATGCACACACAGCCAACCCACTCCGGTATAAAGCTGTCAATGCGGTGACCACACGCCGTACTAAGGGCAACCAAGCAAGACCAACCGCACTCGGTTTAAGCAGCCGGCCGCCACGCTGAGTATCAGGAACGGGCCTGCAGGCCCTGTCAGTTACGAGCAGAGCTGACCCCGAGTAACACTGGAGCCAACTTTTGGCCACACTCACCGGCACCCGCGCGCTCCAACTGCCAGGTCAGCTACCACATGGCAAGCGCGGCCCCTCTCCCGCTCGGGCCGAAGGGAGGCGAGCGCGAGCGTGCGCACCTCGCTCCGGGGCCGGGGTCACTCCAGCGGCGGACCACGCCTCGTTCCGCCTCACGCCGAGCTGACGCGTCACCGACTAGCCGCTCACAAGATCTCGTGTCGGCTCCGGCGCAGCTTGCGGGTCCCAGCCCGGCGCCACAGACGCCCCCGGCTCAGTCCAGTTCGCGTGCGCCGATCCGTCTCCGAATCACATGTCGCTCCAGACGGCGATCAGCTTGGTTTTGTCCGAGCTCACCAGGTACGAGCCGTCCGGATGCCACGCGGTGGCTATCACACACGACCTGCAAACAGAGCCCGTCTGGGGTGGCAGACACGACTGGGCGGCCGGCAGCCGAAGCCAGCGATCTGGCGTAGGGTCCAGTGAGGCACATCAGCTGCCCTGGCAACCAGAGGCCCGTGGTCAGCTACTTATCCTCGCAAATACATTAATTACCTTGCTTTGCATCGTGTTATTCTCATGATTTCACGCAGGTAAAAATATGATATAGGAAAAATATATGCACACACACTGGAACCCTGCGACGTGCCGCGGCAGTTGACTGAAGCCCACCACATCCCGGCAGGCAACATGGCTATTGCCAGCCTCCGATCTCGCGCGACGCAAACTAAGTGTTCATGTTGTCACGGAATGCGACTGCAGATATCACGATTGTGCACAGACACGCCGGCAGTGACGTCCGGACACGCAGTTCTCAGCACGCGGCGTGCACGGCTCACTCACACGCACGTTAGTCACATGATATTCTATTTAGACCGTAATAACCTTCGCGGAGGAATGAACATCTTATCGAAGGTCCATTTCGTTTTTGTTATTCAATCTGCGTAAAGAACGCCCCACCTGGCCTGACAAAGAAAAGAAGTGTTGAGACAAGGTCGACACAAGGTATCCCTGAGCACCGCGGCACGCCGCCCCGCGGGCCGAGGCAGATCAGCACAAAAAAAAACAGCAAACGCCGGGCCCCAACAACGCGCACTATCCAAAATTACGTCCATATCTGGAACTAAAATCCACTTCTGGGAGATTCACTGAGGATCTGCAATATCCCGGGATCTAGGCTTTCCCGCGAGGACGCAAGAGCGAGCTGAGGGAGTTCGCGCAGAACCACACAACTGCTGTGAAGCCCCCATGTAGTCTGGATTTAGCACGGACGTCCCACAAATGCAGCCACCCAATGAATTTATAAAATCCGGGTTGACGGGCTACGATTTTAGAGGAGATCTGCACCTGCGTATCGCCAGGATACTGCATGCCCTGCAGCATCGATTACCGGGTACGGCCGGGGTACTGACAAGACTGTTACAAAGTGTCTACTCCATGTGTGGAACGACCAGTCATCACAAAACATTTGTTGACCTCCACAGGCAGAGCAGAAATATCTTCTTGTTGTCGGTGGCCGGCAAAGTGTGGCCGGAGACAAAATTTGTCGTGGTTGCCGTTGCGTGGCCAGGATGGAAGCGGTTAAGTCAGGACGAGAGAAGATTTTTGATCAAGCTATTGTCGACCTGACGCTGCGCAGCATGCTCCATAACTGACTACAATGAGAACGCTTAGTATTCGCTGAAGTTCGCGGAGCCTAAGGGGTTTCCGGACTCAGCGATTAGATAAACGATGAAATGCTCCCACGAGCTGAGAGCTTCAACTTCAGATTTCAAATTAAGGCATTCGGGCTTTCAGGGTCCACGGACCTTCCACATCTGTGCTTTGAGTTGCATGATTTAAGCAAAAAACGTCTTCAGCTCCTGGTTTTTCGGCGTGAGTTCAGAGGTCTTATGCTGAATCATCGACATTCACTGCACCAGGAGGTGCTGGTTAAACGGCATCCGAGCGCAAATACTGGTCAAATTGGCAAAAGTGTCAATGTAAATAACGTTCGCCATATAACGTCACTTAACCAGCACCCCCCCCCCCCCCCTCCCCCACTCGTGATATCGAAGGTCCCTTATTCAGCGTCAGAACTCTGAACTAAACATTTGTGAACATTTCGCAAAAAAATTCTGAACATAAGCATTTTGTAAAACATATGTGAAAAGCTTTACCCTCCTCAGAGACGGTATCCGTCGTTCGGTAAGTCTTATTTTGGCATTGTAATAGTTTACCCAAGTGTTTGCTTTATTATGTGCCCAATGGAAGGCGTACCACAAAAGTAACCCCCATTGGTACTTTCATGATTTGCGTCTTAGTTCATGACGTTGAGGCTGAACGCACAGTGCTCAACCGCCAATACTTCAAATGTGCAGGCCTTCAACTTCCTTCCAAACAAGAGACGAGCCGCCTTGAGGCCAGAGGCCATCCGACCCTGAGGCTAAGCTGCCCCGCATCCAGAGAGCAACCCCGTGCGGTTCACTGACAGTGGCTGGCGACATAACGAGCGCGTCCGCCCCGGTGAGGGTGGCAAACGAGGCTAAGCTCCTCCGACCGGCCCGCTGGCACCAACAGCGCAGAGGGAGCCATTCGCCAGCCCGTCCCCCCGCGACGAGCGCCGCGCCCAGCTCGCCGTCCACTCGTCGACTTTGCCCAGCATATCGGCACAGGCGTCGTGATGCGGGATGAGATGACGGCGCCGTCAACGGCCTTAACACCTACGCAAAAGAGCCACCGAAACCGATTGGATGCTCCTCAAAATCGTGCCCTCAATACCACTGCTAATGAAAGGCGAACAGACGAATCCCCAGGCTCACTCGCCAGCCAGAAGGTAGAGAGCGGAACCTGTAGCATTCGTCCTTTAGCTAGCGGCAACTTACGGACTGCCAGACACGGACGAGAGCTGCTTCTCAAGCTTCTGCGTGGCCACGTTCCAGATGAAGAGGTCGCCGGTGCTGCTGCCGGCCGCTACGTACTTGCAGTCGGGACTGAACACTGCCCGGGAGTAGTCGCAGCCCACGTGAAAGCCGTCAGCCCTGGGCACGGAGGTGGCGCACGTCACCGACGAGGTCAACGGCGCAGGGGCACACTAATGCCGCTCCGTTCCAAGACAACGGCGCAGGGGCACACTGATGTCGCTCCGTTCGCAGACGCCAACGGCGCAGGGGCACACTGATGTCGCTCCGTTCCCAGACAACGGCGCAGGGGCACATTGATGCCGCTCCGTTCCCAGACGGACGGCGCAGGGGCACACTGATGCCGCTCCGTTCCCAGACGGACGGCTCAAGTCAAACAACGTCAGCTGAACGTTCAAACAGCCCCTTAGACGTTTGTCTCAAAGAAAGGTACAATAGGGTCGTTAGAATTCTCGAATTGGCGATGCAAGCAGATTGTGAAAACGCCACGCAAGTGATGGCAAGGCATTGGATCGTGAGTTTTTTTCATAACGTTTTCTAACATAAAGGCATTGAAATGACATTAGCCACTACAGCATGCGCATAGAAGTGGCATTGTTCCGATCACGTCACTGACGTTATGAACCAGTAACGAAACCTCCTGCCCAAGAACGTAACATTTGGCAAGATTGTCCTTCAAAGCAGCACCATTCGCAGCTGCCGAGAGACTTTCACTCACTGGAAGCGCTTGACCACGGCCAGGGCCCGCAGGTCGACCAACTTCAGAACGTCGTCTCGCGTGCAGCACAACACCTTGTAATCTGTGGAAAGGGCCCAATATCACTGCAGACAAAGTATAACCGGACGCGCAGTTAATACTGACAGGTGAAACGCTCTGATCATGCCAAACTGTAACCGTGGGTGTTACGATTTTGCCATTTCGATTGGGGTATGCAGCTGCCACGCCCCCCCCCCCCCCCGCGACGCCATCTCCTGGCGGACGTGGGGCCAGTGAAGACCTGAGCTAAAAAACACCTCATGGATGGTAAATCCATCACAACAGCTGCCAAAACACAAGACGTCGCGTCACGTAGGTCACTACCGCCACAGGCGGCAGTGGCTCGCACTAGAGTTTCAGCGGCAGATGGCAGCACGATACCGACCTGTACCCAGTGCCAGGGAGGTGACCACACCCTCCACGGCGATGACGTGCTTCGGTTCCTTGTCCCGCTTGTCCCAGACCTTGACGGTGCTGTCGTAGTGGCCGGACAAGAGGCTGGAGCTGGCGCCTTCCAGGATGTCGAAGCAGATGCTGCTGCTGAATATTGTCCGCACGCCTGCGGAAAGGAGGACCAGTGGGCATGCCGCTCGTGGTCCGCGTCTGGGGAGCCGCACCGCGAACAAAAGCCCATCCCCTCCGGCTACCACGGACCAGGCAACAATACCTTGATTTGAGATGGCTGTGTCATGATTGATTCATGAGATGTCTGTGTCATGATTCGTCTGCACATGACCGTCAGCGAGGTTGGCACAATCAATGGGAGCAGCTGTCACTGATTGCAAAATCGTGCCCTTGCACCAGCTGCTAGAGCAAGCCTATGATTTTCACTTCCTCCTCTCATCCGAACACGTTGCATTGCTGTCATGCCGTAACCGAGATCTCAAAAAGCACCTTAACGACGGCTCATCGATCCCCGTCGGCGGCCACGACTCCGGAAACAATACACATTCGCAGCAGGACACAGCGGCCCGACGCTCGCCAGCCGAGGCGGCCGCGCAGACCGGCGGTGCCCCGCGGCGGTCCCCGGAGTGCGCAGCCGGTGGGCCGACCGACTGGTAAAGCGTCCGTCCACACTCAGGCCGCCGTGTCATAACAGCAACGCGCTGCTGCCACCGCGGCCCAGCGGACGGCAGCAAAAAACGAGACAGCATCCGCGCTGGACGCTTCAAACGGGAGAACAAATTGCGGATGATCGGTTTATGGTTTGTGAGAATTATTGTATGAAAGTGGTCATAAAGGACATCAATGCTTTGAAAGGAGCAACAACCTTACATGTGTGACAGTTGGCGCGATAAGGTTTTCCAGCGGTTTTGTGTTCCTCACCCAGCGCCTCTCCATAGGCCAGAATTGCACTTAAGAACGTAACGGGTAGGGCCCTTAAAGATCCCTGCATACTGAGCCATCGTCCCAAAACATGAAGTACAGCTACTACAACGAACATCGCCATTCAGGGCCAAATAATTTTCTGATCTAGTGCCACCATTTCACGGCGAGGAGAGGTTTCGGCGTAGTTTGCAGAGCGTTTGCGCACAGCGGGTAGTTGGGAGTCATCAGCAAGGAAATTCGTTGTCAAACGCGACAATCGGAGCAAGAGACTGCCTGTCTAAACGACTGCAGTGGGGTCTACGCTCGACAGACCCTCAAATCATTATTACTAAACGGCACGAACAACCGCCTCAGCCATCATAACGTACGTGCACCGTTTGAAGCAGGAACGGCCTGATGCACGCGGGGGTACTGCCCTCCCACCAGGGGCACACACCGACCGCGGGCCGCCTGCCGCCGAGACCGTTACCAGACGCCGGATGCGCCCTGCTCAACCACCCCCAGCTCGGTGTGACTTCCGTCGACGGGGAATACCGCTCCCACGCCACGCGAGGAAATGTCGCCCGATAACCGCAAAGTGGACCCGTCGCCGCTTAGTGCCGGCAGGACTCTGCCGCCGATCAAGAGTCGGTCCGCGGCGCTTCGCCTGCAGCGTTCAGGACTCAGCCTTCCGGACGACCGACTCGCACCCGGAACAACACTGCTTGCCAGCATTCCGGACACGTGCCACCCGCGTGGAACCCCACAACGAACGGCATCAGGGCCACCAGGGGCCACGCACCGCTAGGGGTGCATGAGATTAGCATGCCTGGATGCCGGAGGCCAGTGCTGAGCGTCGCACGATGTTGAGTCGCCACGCAGCCTGCACCTGCGCTCATCGCCCGTGAAATGTGTCACGAGTGCGAAGACAGTTACGTAGCCGGCCGAGAACGCGCGAGTCGCACATTAATCACGCATAACGCCGATAGCCACCGGTAGCTAATGAATGTTCACGCCTCTAGCCGCCGGACGAAACGGGTCACCACCACTCCCACGCGCCAAAACGGAATGGCAGTCGGCGGCGGACACCGAGGCGACGGGCCGGAGTCACCGGTCCGGACCGGTGTGTCCCGGACGGGTGCCTGGTCTGGGACGGGAGGCCAGCGCTGACGCCAGGGCGGGGTCAGGGATGAGGTCTGGGGCAGGAGGCGAGCCTAAGACAGGATGTGGACCGGGGAGTCAGGTCCGGCGCGAGGGCGGGGTTTGAGGCGGTGTCTCGAACGATGTCTGGGACGGGTTTTGGGACGGGGCGGGGACGGAGCGGGGTCTGGAACGGAGCACAGTCTAGGACGAGGCGGGGTCTGGAAAGGTGTCTGAGACAGGGTCCGGGACGGGGTTAGGGATGGAGCGGGCTCCGGGGCGAGAGCCGGGTCAGGGACGCGGCAGGACGTGAGACCACAGCGGCCCGCGGGTGACCAGAGCGGCGTCGGAGGGCCGCGGGGGGCGCGAGCGCCGCCGTCCTCGGGTCAGGCCGCTCCCAGGGCGGCCGGCCGGCTGGGAGCGGCCGGCGGCGCGGCGCCGCTCCCGCCGGACCCAGTTCCCGCCGGGCCCGGCCGCCGCCGCGCCGCGCCGCGCCGGGCCACTGCTCTCAGCCGGCGGCTCGGGACTAACGCGGCGGAGTCGGACCGCCGCCGCCGCCGGGCGCCGCCCTCGGCACCAGATCCGGACGAGCTCCACCCGTCGCCAAGCCACGGCCGGTCAGACGCAGCGCTCGCGGCGTGGCTCGGCAAACATGCCGCGGTTCGAGTTCGGCGCCCTCACGCATCACAGGTGACTGACTAGCGCGTGAGATGGGGCGACAAAAGCATCGGCGGTGCTGAGCGGTGGCAGTGTCCACAAGATGACGTGTGGAATTCAGGGACAGTGTGCTACCGCCAAAGCTCATGGAGCCGTCTCCGTATCTGCCCGATCTAAGCTCGGTAGAGGATAAAAAATAGTCTGTCGCGCAAAAATTCCACAACCTTCACACGGAGGCCTGTATGCAGTTGCGCACCAAGCACACCCTGTCCGCTATCTATCCCAGGTCCACCGGTCAAACTGACTAAACCTTCACACGGAGGCATGTATGCAGTTGCGCACCAAGCACACACTGTCCGCTATCTATCCCGAGGTCCAGCGGTCAAACTGACTAAACGTCGTGGCTGAGCACGTCAAGAAAGCCAGCACCCGCTCTACACTTGAAGACCACCAGGCACCAGACCCAGCTATCCACCCTATCTCTCCGTGCACGACCGAGGCCGGCCTCGCGGAGAGCCCGAGGGCCCGTCCCAGCCGGCGGCGTACTCACAGTAGCCGCCCTTGACGAGGTCCCACTCTCGCAGCGTGCGGTCCCGGCTGCCGCTCACCACCTTGTTGGAACCGTCCGTGAACCGGGCCTACCATCACGGCTCCGTTGTGACCGGTCAGCGTGTACTGCCGGACAGGGACTGGTGTTAGGTGGCCGCTGCAGGGGTCACACACTGCAGACGCCGGGCGTCACATCGCGCCACTGCGCGCGCGCGGAATTGTTTTGCGGATGCTCCAAACACACCGCAGATTATGATTTCATTTGCAGACGCATTTGCTTCGATACAGTAAAACGACGAGCACGACCATTTTTGAACGATTTTACTAATTTTGCTATATAAACTACTGCCTGCAAAGCGGCTTTCAGCAGAAGGTTGGCAACAATGCGTCACCAATGCACACAATTACATCATATGTGCAAACATGAGTGTTACGCAGGATGCATTCATACTTTCGAGCATTAAATCGCTTAATCCTAAGCGGCACATCCAATATCCGATGTCACACGAAGGCGGCGTGCGATACTTGATATGTGCAGGTGTGCATGATATGTGTATGCATCAGCAGTGCTTCGGCTCATGGTCACCCGTGGCCATGACGTACATATATACATACATACATACATACAAAAATACATATACATATAGATACGTATGCATACGGATACGTACAGCTCATGTATTGTAATATATACAATATATATACATATATATATATATATATATATATATATATATATACGCAAACACACCCCCACGCACGCATGCACGCACGCACGCACGCACAAGACGCTATGTTCAAAAACGGCAACTTTGTATATATGGAGCAAAAAAGTACATCTCGTCATCAAAGCGCACGCATATTGTAGCATGCAAAGACTTGTCTTGTTTCCAAGTTCTGTCTGTTTCCAAGAAGTGAAGCTGCTACAAAGAAGTCAAAATATACCGACGCAACACTTTTTTGCACGATCACGCGCAATACGACCGCAACAATACCACGACAATTTAACACACGGGCGCAAGCTGTGAAACCATCAAGTGATGGAAAAATGAGCAAATTTCGCGATGATCTGTCAACTTGACAGATCACCCAGTAATATGACTATACAGCTCTATAAGGCAGCGGCTCGATACACTCAACCGAAGCATGTACTAGTTAACGCGAACGATCGTCCTGGTCGGCACTACCGGTCCACGAATGACCTCAACCGCGCTTGGACTGTTCCGAAGAGGAAAGCGATGACTCCGTTATTTCGGAACGGTCCAGAAACTGCCAATTGCCACGAGTTGAAAATCTGCCAATATGAGTTAGCAGGGCCTTTACCGGTCTCCAGCGACAGCTTCTGGAGCACCCTGACATGGAGCCGACTCCTGCGCTAAGCGCTGGACGCCGGCCGCGGCAGGCGTTTGACGGCGCCTCCCGACCGTTGGCGCCGCTGAAAGCGCGGCGCTGACCGGGGCCCAAGCAGCGGTGATCAATGACGGCGCGATGACTGCCCGATCGCGGCCGGGCGCGCGCGCGGCGACGACCGGAACGGCGCTGCGTCACCGGCGACCGCGGGCCGGCGACCGCTGGCGCGAGCGGCCGTCGGTGCCGAGCAGCCGGGTCGGGTTACACGGCCGGGACAGGCGGGTCCCACACGCCTGTGTCGGACGCCGCGTCAGGTCCACGAGCGGGCCGGTAGGAGGCCGCCTGCAGCCACGCCACCGCGCCGCGACCGAGGACTACGGCAGACCGGGGCGGCGGAAACGGCAGTGGTATCGGCGTCATCTTCCTCTGCATTCACCGCATAAGTCAGCCGGTGTTGCCAGCGTATCGCTCAAGCTAATGACTATTGCTATCTTTCATATGGAGGCACGTCAGCCTGCGCATTAGCGACTACAGCCGTCATGCACGCCCCTGAGGAACAGCCCTCTTCCTCACATCACTTATCCGTGGCGTACGAACTGGCACCGGTGGCGGGAGAGAAGTCCACGGACGGACTGGCCGCGCACCGCTCCGGCCTCTTCGTCACCGGGGCCCGCGAGCCCTGCTCCGGTCCCCGCGTCGCCCGCGCCGCCGGCGGCCAGCGGTCCTGGGAGCGGCCCCGCGGTCTCACGGCGTCCCGGCGCGCTCCGGCCGGCCAACAATGGGGGCCGCTGAGACCGCCGCCCAATGCCGGCAGCACCCGGCCGACCGGCGCAAAAAGGACGGCGCGCTCACAGTTGTCAACAGTTATTTGGGCTTCGTGTGAGCCGATTTCTCGGTTATTTGGCGCCGACTGTCAACATAAATAGCGCTCTGTGTGGCTTGTGGAGCCTTTCTCAAAGTATCCTCGACGGTCTGGGATACGGGCGGTTTACGAAAAGAGAGCCTCTGCCAAAGAGTCAGCCGCTGTAACTCAGCGCCTCCGCGACAGGTGTGATAACAAAATGCCAGGCGGGGGATGAGCCTCGAGGCCGGGTCTCAGCCACGTCCTACTGTGTGGGGGGCGGTCCGCAAACGCAGCACATGCAGCGTGATCTCCAGGGCCCCGGAGGCCGCCGGTCAGGCAGGCGCCCGGGAGTTCGGTGAGGGTGGGGGTGGGGCAGCCCGCGACACCTCCGAACTGAATGCCGGAGATTCCATACGAGTTAGATTAAGACATCCCGCTTTTCGCCTCCCATCCGTCTCAAGAAAAAGGCAGCTAACGGGAGCCACGGTACATCTGAGGCCACATAACATCAACGCAGCCACATAGTTTCAAGATGTTTTTTTTTAAAGAAAACCAAGGAGGGCTATCACGTTCAACCCATTTACCTTTAAGTTTTATTTCCGATTTTTTTTCTTACGATCCTCCTCTCAATTGGCGAGCAAGGCCCTTGAGGTTATGCCAAAGCATCTCCATAGGTGTCCGTCCATGGCATACTCAGGCGTAGTCCCAGTGCGCCACGATCGTTCGGAAGACGGCCTCGTCAACAGGTGTCCGTGAAAGAAAGATCACCTCCCGACAGCTTAATGCGTTTGGTAAAGCGGCAGCACTCATGCGGAAAGTAAAAACCCGCCACAAATAGTGATAAGAGTCCCGCAGTCTGCCAGCTGACCCGGACGGGCCCGCGTCATTCTCATCAGCGCACTGCTGCTACGGAGCTCCGCACATTACACACAGCTGCAGCTTCAGCGGAGGGTGAATCCTGCCCACCAGCAGCACACTACAACTCAGTGACGAGTCCCCGCATCAGCGTCGGCCCTGCGGGCGTCACAGGGAGCCGGTGTCAGCGTGCGGCCGCGCGTCAGGCCGTCATCGGGCCGGAAGCCGACGTCAGCGTCCGGCCAGGAGGCGGCGCCACGTCAGCCGAGAGGCCGGCGGCGGCCAGGCGACACGCACGCGCCCCGATGTCTGCCGGGGCGAGTTGAACGTCCCGGCGCGGCGCCAGGTGTGGGCCGGTCGTGGCACGTCCCGCACATCATCAGGCGCGGTCCGGCCGCGGCACGTCACGTCACGTCACGTCACGTCCCAGGCTCGGCCGCGCATTGTGCGCGCCGCGGCCGGCGCCGAAGCCGGCCGTGACTACTTACACGGCGGATCAGCGGCGGCCGCGGCGCCGGCGGCCGCGCCGCACGCCGCCGGTTCGGCCTGCGAGACGTAGCGGTGCGGCCGGCACGCGCTGGCTCGGGCCGAGCGCCACCTCGGCGCCGCCGCGCTGCCCACCAGTCCCGGCCGGGCGCCAGACTAAAGGCAGCGTGCGACTGTGTACGCACGCTACATAACTAATTCCTGCTCCAGTCAACGCGCCATGTTAAACGTCCGTCTATTGTTAGTAGCGAAGCAGGCATATGAACTGGCTGATGTGGTTGATTCGGTTACATTGTCGCATCTGAATTCCTCGTTTTTCTCTCTCCCACGATTACAGGCACTCAGATTAAGTTTATAAAGGAGCATGGACCACATTTAATGACGAGATAGTGTCGTGACAAAGCCATCATTAGCTCGGGTGTTCAAAACTAAGTGAGATGGACGAGTTAATCATCTGTCGGCGCACAATGCCGGCGTGGCCACCGGCTCTCGCCGGGCGTATCCACCCGGGGAGCGAGGCGCTGCCCCGACGGCGACCACGTCCGGCCTGAGCGGCGACTGGAGCGATGTCGCGGTGCGCGCCGCCCGACGGGAATGCCGTCAGCCGTCGCGGCGGAGCGAGCGGAGCGTGCCGACACCGCACCGACCGCCGACAGCTCAACGCGCTCCGTCACCCCGAAACGTACCGCAAGCGCATGCCGTCGTGAGCGGAGGTGGTGGCCCCGCGGGCCACGCCCGGCTCACAGGACCGGGCTGGCCGAGCTGCGGCCCGCTGAGGAGGCCACGGCTCCCGTCGGTACAGGTCTTGTCCCGGTGGTGACGGCGGATCGGCATGGCATCGGCAGCTCCCACCGCGGCTCCACTCCGGGCCGGCCGGAGATGGCGACTGGGCGCCGGTGGGACGAGACTGAGCGCCAGTCATCGTTGACTGCACACTGCACTTGACAACACAGCCCCCAGTGGACTGATATGCTGGATGGCAGGGCTGGCGCGACTCGCTTGCTTCGTCGGTTTGCGGGCACATACGGGGCATCCAGGCACCAGAACGAGTGCACAATGTCGACGTGCCACCACGCCTGTCCTGTTTGCATAAGGCCACGTGATTGGCGCGAGCTGTACAGCCTGAAACCGCTCCCGCTCCGGCCAACGTCCCCGGCGCGGCTCCCACGCGGCCTCTTCAGCCCGCCGTCGCCGTGTTGACCCACGCCCGCGCGCCACCGTCATTTACATGGGCCGGGGCGGGCGCGTCCGGCCGACGGGGCGCGGAGAGGCGGCGGCTGGCGACGCGCGCCGAGTGGCGCCCCTGCGCGGACCGGCGCGCGGCCGCCCGACCGGAGCCCACATGCCGGCCACAAGGTGAATGGCCATCGGCCAGTCCGTTGCGTGGGACTTCGGAAGCACAGCTCACGAACAATGTGTAATAACGCGGCGGCCAGCGTCGTCCAGTCCCACAAAGAGCTGCCATTACGCCGTCCCTCTAGCGCCGACCGGGCGCGTCTGCGCGCCGCCGTCGACGAGTCATTCAGCCGGCCCGGTATCCAGGCTCGTCACACGTGTCGCTTCTGATAACACGCGGACATAACGCTTGGTACAATGCAACGCGCCGGCGCTGAAAGGCTCGTAACGATTCCACATAGTGGCGACAAGCGGGGCTACGAACGGCGCACAAAAAGAGCGCGATGACCGACGTCGGCGGCCGGAAGAGTACGGCTCTGCCGGGGGAGGTCAGCTCGCGCCCGCCGGCGCTGGGCGGCCACCGCAGACTGACAACAACCGGCCATCGCGCTCGCCGGCGCGCCGCACGGGAGCTGCGCCGGCGGTGAGTCGTTCGCACGCTGGGACAGCCGCCAGTGGAGGCGGAGCCCTGTTGACACGCCCCGAAACAGGCCCAAGTGTCGATAAACCAGTCACCCGCGTCGCGGCGCGCCGGTTTTTGTCAACGGCGCGCCGCCCATTAACACGGCGCTGAGCACCCTCAATGGCCGTGCGGCCGTCGCTCAACATGGTTCACGGGGCGAAGGGTCAACACGTCCAGATTTAAACAGCTGGCAGATCCGGACCAGCAAATGCGGGTCAAATGCAGAAATGCAGACCAAAGATGTAGCTGACATGACAATAGTCTGCAGACCTTGCCAATGGCTAGATAGGGTCGTGTGCAACTAGAAGTGCAGGATTCCTGATTTGTCCACGGAGACAGGAAGCTACTACGTCGGACTGTTCCTACGGACTTTCTTCATGATGCAGATCACCCACCATCCTGCTCCCTTCAAATGCAAGTCACCAATAGCGCACCAAGTTGAGTACACCGAGCCCGCCACACCATTTTATGATGATGGCACGACGGCTAATGATTATTTACCACGACATGGTCAAGTGGCCACCAAGGTCTGAGAACGCGCTCGATATCACAAGTCACGCGGGGGTGAGTTCTCATCCATTTCATACCTGATCACGAAACCTCTCGAAACAATCAATCACCTCCCCATCTACCTCCCAAACTAGCCGGATGTAAAAGCACGATGAAATTTGGCATGTATCTACTAATGTACAAAACGAGACTTATGGTATATTATACGTTCGTTTCATTTTCATTTTGTATTTAATATGCGGTATCTTGCATCCCTCACCTATATCTACTCCACACAACTCACATTTAACGGAGAACGAAACATAGTCCAGTTTGAGCAGCACACGATTCCATTATATCGGTGCACAATGACGATGCAAACGATGATGCATGTTGACGTTATCCCGTTGTTATTTGTGCTCTGGGCCTCAACAGCGGCTTCATTTGTCGCGTATAATGCCTTTACACGGCAATAAGGCAGCCATCCTTAACATGACTTAGCTGAGCACTCGCACTCACTAGCACTCATTTAGGTGCACATGGGGCTTGGCTAGTTCAAGCCCATCGTTAGCTCTCACTTCTCACATCATTACGGGACATCTAATTGTGTTCCCGCCGTGAATACAGCAGGGGCTCTTGCCAGGGGTCAAGTCAAAGGTGTATTGAGGGGGGGGGGAGCGGTCTCACAGCCGACAGTCAAAGTCGTGACGGACCGGCCCGACCCGCCCCAGGCGCCGGCGGCACCGGCCGACCGCGCGTGACCCAGCCGCGGGAACGGCCGGTGTCACAGTGACAGACCAGCCCGACCCGCCCCAGGCGCCGGCGGCACCGGCCGACCGCGCGTGTCACAGCGACGGGCCAGCCCGACCCGCCCCACGCGCCGGCGGCACCGGCCGGCCGCGCGTGCTCCAGTCGCTAAAACTTGTCTTCACTCCGGTCTGCCTTGGCTCTTTTCGGGGTCTCTCCTTGTCCCGGGCTCCATCTCTAATCGCAACACACCCAGCTGTCTCACACAATCTGGGATGTTGACCAAAGGCACGGCAAGTGAATACCGCAAGGTCGCCTCATGTACTGAACAAGGTCATGGGAGGCACAAGCACGGGGTGGTCCTCAAAGAATGAGTATTGGTCCGGGCTTCCAATGCCAATTTTGGATAGTTTCAGGACATTCCTTCCATGCATCGCCATACGCCGAATGCTACAATATGAAACTATTGAAACCCGCCTTTGGGCCTTTCAAACGTCTGCAGTAACACCTATAATTGCAAGACAATTTGATGTCGCTTACTGTAGTTAGTTTTCTTTCTGCAGCACATGAACATAAGTGAGCAATAGTTTCACTGTACATAGAGCAGGAGCGAGGCTTGTCTTACTATCTCACCCTGCATAAACGTGATAGTTTGCCTGGCGCAAATATTCTTTGGACGCAGTGGCGGCAGAGCCAGCTCAGTGGTGCATCCTTGGTCGTTTAAAATCATCAGGTATGTATGCACCGGCGACCAACTAAAGTTGCGCACGCAGGGATCCTCTCCCCACCATTCCTGGACATTTTGGGCATTTCGACTCTTGTAACATTCCTAACTGCGCCCATTGATTTGCATCGTTCCCAGGCAGTTTCAGGAACTTCCAAACCTGTTAACTTTCTTAACTACGCCCATCTGGCACATTTCAGGTGCTTTGAGGATGTCTTCTTCCTCGTCGCCCTTTGTCGCCGTTCTCAGGCTCTAAGTGGCCGCCTCCGACACCTGTCACGAGCCTGGGGCGTGCAGCTCCAGCCTGACAACGGCAGATCGACCCCGGCGTTATCCGCCGCTGCCACAGCTTCCTGCAGCCTCGCTCGAGACGCCGCGCGCGCTTGCGGCGGCGGCGGCGCCGCCAAATCGCTGGCGCGCCATCACACAGAGCACGTGTGCTGAGGATTTCACGGCTGGGTGCCGTCCGTCCGCCTTCAGCGCCGGCTGCGCCGAAGCCAGAGCCGGCGGCGCCCGCGGCCAGAGCCGCCGAAATCGCCCCGGGCAGCCGTAATAATGGCTGGATAGCAGTAGCTGCAGCTAATTCGATATCGGCTCCGGCCGCTGTCCCGGGCCGCTCCGATCGTTTACGGGTGATTCACCGCGCGTCTCCCGCCGCCGCGCCATTGTTTCTCACAGTCGCGGCAATTTTCCGTACTTATTTTCGATTTATGGCAGCGGTAATGCAAAAGCCAGAGCAAAAAGACTGTGACGCGGGTCAGGGCAGCCGGGTGGGTGCCGACAAAGCAGAACACAACGCTTGACAGAAGATAGCGCGTCACACTGTGGGGGGAATGTGTGACCCTGAGGTGACAGCGGAGGCGTAGCGAGAAGAGGGAGCGGAAAGCCGCACCCTTAGGCCAGCATATTTGTTTTGGTTGCATTAGGTACGGCTGACTCTTGACGGAGTCAAAACAATAGCGCACAATAGCGCACGCCCAAAGCGCCGCTAAAACAATAGTGGCGCTTTAGGTTGGATAAAGCGCTGGAATCCATTGTCATCGAACAGATATATCGAAACAAGCCCAGTTTGTGATCTGTAGTCTTAAGAGAAGTTCTCAGTGAGCTCCGCAACCAACCCCTAAGCAAATCCTGGCTGCGACCATGAGTGACAAAAGTGGCCGTGGGTCTTCTGGGGAGTTTGGCGAGGAGCAGACGCAGTATTTTATCTGGTCCCTTTCCGCGTGACGTCCTCGGGCAAATAATGCATGTTGCCGACTACGAAGAGTAGGCTGCCTCCTCGGCCCCCGTTTGCTGCCCTGGGTAACATGCATAAGCTACAGACGCAGCATGACTGGCGAAAATGCAGAATAAGAGAGAACAATGAAGAATAGACATTACTCGGCACATGGAAATGCCATGCAAGTGAGCCACCAGACAGCAGCAGTGGGATTGCCCATGCTGACCGGCAGGAAGTTGGCGAGGTCTCAACGTGCCATCCCCGGTGCAATACCTGGCAACCGGCGGAAGGTTGAGGAGCTGTAAATGTGCCACACCTGGTGTGTGACATCTGTTGAAACGAAACACCACGTATCACTCATACTTTCGCACGCCACCTGATGATAATCACTGGCCTGTATCGCACTAACTGGTCGCTGAGCGTGCCGCCCCCCCCCCCCCCCTTCCGTCATCGCCAGCCCCGCGGAGGCCGAGGTCAGGCACCGTGTCGCTCAATCTAAGCCGCCGCGGCCCGGCGGCGGCGGCCGGGCCGCCCCGGCGACGCGTGGCTGCGACAGTGCAGCGGCGCACGACGGCGCATGACTCGGCGCCGGCGCGCGCCCGCGCCCGTGCCGATGACCCGGGCCGGCCGGCGGGCCGCGCCGCTCGTGCCCGCCTCGCCCTCGCCCCTGCCCCCGACGCGCGGCCCGGCGGCCGCCGATCGCGATCGCGATCCCACGGCGCCGTCGCCGCGCGCGACTGTCGCGGCGTCGGCGCCGCGGCGGCTGCTGCCGGCCGGCCGGGCGGGTCGGTGACATCGCGCGCTCACGGCCACCCAGCTCGCGCCTCCGAACCGAGCACATCACACCGCCGTTCCGGCGCGCTTCCCGCCGTGCCGCCGCTCCAGGCGTGGCGGCGTTGACGACGCAGCGCATCCACCGACAGCGCAGTCTCAGCGGCGCATGCGTTTTGGTCTGCCTGTCCGCCCGTTCGATGATGTCGGCTATTCAATAACGTCCGCTGTTCGGCACTGTTCCCACTATGCAACCCTGTCCGATGTCCCGCGCTGCCCACTGTCCGGCGGAGGCACCACTCCCGCCGCGTCGCTGACCAGTCGGCAGTGCCTTCTGCCCGGGCCACTACCCGCCGCGAGACGGTGTCCGCCGTCCAGTCCGGCACCGAACACCCCGCCGGCCCCCCCCCCCCCCCCCGCGCGCAGCCAACACCCGGCCGGCGGCTGGACCGCCGTGTCCGTCACACACGATATCGTCGGGGAATAGCGGCCGACGCTAAAATGGCAACTCCGAACCGTTACCGCCGCCGACGACACCATTCGACTGTCCCACGCCGAAACGTATGGAACGATTATTCTTCATGCCTCATTCAACCATGTGAAGTAGGCTGTACGTTTATCGCAGCTACCAGCGAATGGGTAAATACCGCAAATGACAAATTATGTATTGGGGACTGGCGTCGAGTTGAGGCCCTAGGGTACACACACGCTCGGGCCGTAGACTACATACGCGCTCCGGCCCGTAGGCTACACACGCGCTCGGGCCCTAGGCTACACACACGCTCGGGCCCTAAACTACATATACGCCCAGGAACGGACTAGCCGTCGTCCTGGTTCGTAAGTCTCTGCCATCAGGCCTAAATCATGCCCCGTGCACGGTGGCAGCCGTCTGGCAGCACGTGCACGTAAGATGATAACATCAGGGCAGGTCCCTGCAGACGTATGTGTTCAGCAGTTAGCCACGGGTGCCGCTGGTTTGACCGCGCTCACGTATGTGTTCAGCAGTTGGCCACGGGTGCCGCTGGTTTGACCGCGCTCACGTATGTGTTCAGCAGTTAGCCACGGGTGCCACTGGTTTGACCGCGCTCACGTATGTGTTCAGCAGTTAGCCACGGGTGCTGCTGGTTTGACCGCGCTCACGTATGTGTTCAGCAGTTAGCCACGGGTGCCGCTGGTTTGACCGCGCTCACGTATGTGTTCAGCAGTTGGCCACGGGTGCCACTGGTTTGAACGCGCTCACGTATGTATTCAGCAGTTAGCCACGGGTGCCACTGGTTTGACCGCGCTCACGTATGTGTTCAGCAGTTAGCCACGGGTGCCGCTGGTTTGACCGCGCTCACGTATGTGTTCAGCAGTTAGCCACGGGTGCCGCTGGTTTGACCGCGCTCACGTATGTGTTCAGCAGTTAGCCACGGGTGCCGCTGGTTTGACCGCGCTCACGTATGTGTTCAGCAGTTAGCCACGGGTGCCGCTGGTTTGACCGCGCTCACGTGTGCGTTCAGTAGTCAGACCCGGGTGTCGTTGGTCTATTTATGTGCACACCACCTGGGCCAGAACTCCACCCAGTTCAGTGCGTTTTCGAGACGGCGCACGACCGCTAGGGCCAAATGTGGCTGCCAATTTACGTTTACATGAGAACGCGCTTGACACGTCCTAGCCCATGTGTATGTAAGGCCAGGAGTAGACGGTGGTAGCGACGTTGGTTTCAGCGACCGCAAAAGGACCTTAATATAAAAATTACAAACGTTGAAATCCGGAGCGAAGCAAAGATGCTTGCTAGTCCAGCACGCCGAGCACAGGGTATCTGGCTAAGGTAACGAGCCAACCAACCCGGTTTGTACTGTTCCGATACCCATGTATGCCAGGCCCCACGACAAGGAGGTGGTTTGGCAATGGAACACAAACAACCCGGAGTAACGACTGATCGCAGCACCAGCATAACAAGAACAGCATTAACAGCTATGTGGGATACATGCAACCCCAGGGAAAGCATAAAACATAAAGTAAAAACGTATGGCAGCGTTCATCTGGTCTTGCATTTCCACTTGGCGTCAGAACATTGGCCCCTGGCCCGTGGCGCAACCAACAAGGCCCGACGGACCACGCCCCCGCCCCCCCCCCCCCCCCCCCCCCCCAGTGAAAACAAAACTTGTCTCCGCTGGTTGGGTTTTCAGGTAATCACCTAGCCCCGGGCGCGGTCTTCGGACCTGCCCGCACAAGATGCGGTGGCGGATCCGGCGCCGACCTTGCCCACGGGGCCATCGATCAGAGCAGGACATTCCTGTGTATTTTCAGGGACGTCAGTCCCAATTTGCGGGCAATACGGAACGTGAAAATTTAAGCGAGGAGAAGATTCTCTATTATCTGGTCTCGCTAGATTCCCAACAGGCAAAACGTGCTTCTAAAACAGTTCATGCGTTATCTCCTTGTGGCAAAAGACTTATCCATGATTAATGCTCCCAAAGCCTCCGTTTCCATCGCTGATACGCACTGCCCCGGTTTCACTCCATTTCTTCGCACGTCACTGCTCCAGTAAACAGCGCCATCCCGTATGAGCTCACCGACCGTGAACGCCAGTCACGAGCGTCCACGATAATTGGCGACGGCATGCACGCGACAGGCTCAGTTAGATCACGGGCAGCAGCAGCTGTTTGAGAGCCAATATATCCCACGATCCAACGGGCGGCTTCCGTGAGCGCGTTCCACCGGGCGATCTTGGCGGACAGCAGGAGCTGTCCCGACACGAACGGACCTCAGCGCCGGCAGCGACTTCCGTCACCGGCCGCAGCCAACGGCGGACGGAGACTCCGACGATGATAGAGGTGAATACAGCGCCTACCACCGAAAGCAAGCGAAGACCTTATCGTCACTGAGAGCGACTAACGGGACCGTCGATGCCGAGAGCGACAAAGCTACCATTACTTGGAGAGACAGAGCTACCAGCACTTGGAGCGACCAGCAAATACGTCCGTACCGAGGGCGACAGACAGAACCGCTACCGCTGAGAGAAAAGAAACGGGCTCCATCGCTGAGTGTGATACACAACGCTTCTACCGGCAAGAGACGTGCACAGAACCTTGGCAGTCTAGAGCGACAGACAGCCATTATGGCCGAAAATAGCTGAGCCCCATCGACGAAAAGAAGCGACGGGGTCTCTATCGCTGGGAACCACAACCCACCGCTGGGAGAGCTGGAACCAGCTCAGATTGCTGAGAATGATGAAGCCCCTATCGCCGATAGCAAGAGACAGAGCTTCGTCACTGAGAACGACAAAAAGAGTCTTCATCGCCGAAAGGGAAAAAGCGCACGTTCATCACCGAGAGCGGCAGTGGTCATCGCCGCAGGCAGCAAATCGAGGCCCCATTGTCAACGCCCATAAACGGACTCTTCATCACGAAGCGCGTCATATAGGGACTGCATGACCAGTGACGCACAGAGACATGTCGCATCGCCGGCAGCTGCAGACAGAGCCTTGACAGCCACGGGCGACAGCAGCTCAGAGGCGGCGAGGACCAGACCGAGCCTCCACCCCAGCGCCGGGAGCGGGAGAGCCGCGCGCCGCCGGCCGACCCGGCGCCGCGCCGTGCGGTGCGGAACGCCGCCGCCGTCCGGGCCCGGCCGGTAAAACTGGCGAGCGGCGGGCGGCGGGCAGCATTCGACCGGCTGGCTCGGCGCGTGGCACAGGCGGCACCGTACGGCACCCGACCAGGACCCAGCTCAGGTGAGGAGGCGCCTCTGCCGGCCGGCTCGGCGGCATCCCGCGCCACCGGCCGTCGGACACGCCGTCCCGGGGACCGACAAGCTGTGCGCAGTCACTGACGGCACCGTCGCTTTCAGCCCTCGTGCCCTCAGTTTGTACGTGAACAGCGCGCACGGTAGCACTTGTCCCGACGTCGCACCCGTCGGTTCATGTTTGTGAATTCGTTAGCCTCACTGGACTCTCACTGGACGCGCCGGGACGTTGACTCTACCGAAAACGTCCTCCGATTTACTTGCTTTCGTTTTCTGGAGCGAAAACAAAGTTGAAAAAGCTGCTTTCCACTTCAACAAGTACACAAGGCGGCAATATTTTCGTTCGTGTAGTGCTGATTTGGTTCACAGTGCCCTACCTTACGTAATCAGCGGCGCCGTAATGTTGCTAAGCGTGTCTTGCGCCGGCCTACCACGAGAGCCGTTCTGAGGAGACCGCTGCAAACGGCTGGCTAACAGAACCATGTCATATGAATCAGGCCGTCCGACAATTTTCAAATTCCCTGAACAAACAAGTAATAACTCTCCGTGGGTCTAGTCTCCCGCAAGGAATGCAGCAAGGTTGTACGAACAGCAAAAACGAACACAGGCGTTCGCTCATATGCCCTTATTTCGAAAAAGAATGATATGAGTCCCGCCTGTCTTGGCAGAAATCTTCGACTTGTCCCTGTCGGTTCCGATACATGAGGCGAATAAAATGCTGCAAGGCAGATGCTATGTCATCGAAAGTACCACTAAAAACGGCGGTGACTAGCTATTATGCCAGACATGCTCAATAAAATTTGACCTTTTCGACGCTTTCGACAAATCTATTTGTCATTTATGTTGATCGCAAGTCATAGCTTTGAACGAGTGTAGCATTCCCTGTAAGCTGGCTGCTGTTCTAAGCTGAAGTTGCGTCGTATGGACCATATGACCTGGCACGCAAATGCTAAGTAGCCAACAACCGCCTGAGACCGAATCATCAGCTGCAACCATGTTGGTCAAAATGCCACTGTTTCATGAATTTCAGATTCGCCCAATGCTGGCGACATTGAGAATCTCGTCCGCTTAGTTTGGAATTATTTAGTTTATTCCGGAAAAGTAAGTTGATAACGGGCAATGAGCAATGCCCATGGAGCCAATGGCCCACTCTGAGCAATGGCCCATAGAAACCCCATGCGTGGATCGATATGGGATATGGAAGCAGAAGCGGGGACAGGATGGGAGGTTCGCGATGACGCCACCGTCGGTGACAATGTCAAATTATGCACCGTGGTGCACTGGTGATTTATGTAAAGATATGACTTTAAAAATGGCTTGTCGCACGTTTTGTACGTGCGCTGGGGTATGCTTAATAATGCGTTTTTTTGTGGACTTGAGACTAAAAGCACAAACATTGGTATGAAAAGTCTATCACATGGAGCGGCTCTCTATGGTTCTACGTACCCTCTTGTCTACTCCGTGGTTCTAAATAGCGCGATCACAAACGCATTCTGACCACCAATATTTGTCTTAAGACTAACCACCTACCAAATTACATCTGACTCACGGAAATCCCAGCGATATGAGCCGGGCGCAGGCAAAAGCACCGTACCCGAACTGACACAAACTGCAACCGCAGAGCGAGAGGTCACGGGGTCGATGGCACCTTCTGCCTGTCTTCCGCGCGCCTGGAGTCCGCCCACAGTGAGCACCGTGCACTCAAACGACATAAAGTCGGGAGCTTCGGGAAGAGTTCTGGGACGCATGAACGAACAGGTCGGCTAGCCGCAGGTCCGCCAGAGCGTTCACCTTCAGCCGACGCCTCGGCTACTGAATTGCAAAGCGCGAGGCTGATCCATTCTGCATTCGTTCCTGTTTTCTACAAAATATCATTTATGAATATCAGCCAGGTTCTAACACTCAGGGGGCAGATCAGCTGATGAATTTATGCTTCGATTCAGGCTGATTTGCATGGCTGCCGGCGCCGCCCGTGTCATTACGCGGGCAAAGACCCGACCCGCGCACGAAACGCCCACGGGCCAGCGCGGCCCGACCGTCTCAGCCGAAGCGGGTGGCGCCCGGCGACGGCGTCGGTTCGCGGCCCTCACCCACCCGCGGGGCTCGGCCGCCCGTCACGGGCTTGCAAAGGATGCGCCGGGTGGTCTCGGTGCACGCGCGGCAAGGGGGCGAGGAGTTCCAGTATCGACCGCAAGATGGCCTCGATGCCACGCACAGGCGCCGGCCTATTCGGCGCGGCTGACCAGTTCGCGGGGTTCGTCGGTGCTGGCGCTGAGCGTCAACAGAGCGCAATCCAGATCTCAACAACAATCCATTCCCTCCGCACTCTCGGCTCAAGCCGTCCGCGAACGCTGCCCCCCCCCCCCCCCCACGCCCCTCTCGCACCACCGCCGCAAGCCAAAAAAGCGCTAATGGTCACCATCTGGTGGCGGCGCCGGCTCCCGTGCGCGCGGCCCTCCAGTCAGCGAACTCGTGCGAGCAGTCGGCGGGTGGCCGGCCCGCCGGCGCCGCCGGCCCCGGCCGCGGACAATGCGAGCGCCGCGCCGCCGTCGCCAGTCAATGTCCGGCCGAACGCGCGTCGCCCGCACGGAGGCGCCGGCGCGACGCACGGCACGGGCTGCAGGCGCGACAGCTCTGGAAACGGAGCTTGCGGCCGGCGGCGGAGAAGAACGCGGTCGGGATGAACTGGAGGCCGATCCTGGGGGCGGATCACCTCCCAGGCAGACCGCACGACCAAATGTATGAGTGCTTGACACGACTGCCAGCAATTTCAAGTTCAATAGAATATTGGCGGTGCTGGTGTCATGGGCGCATACATGCTCTATCTGAACCAGAGGAAATCCGCCTCATGCGTCTCCCACCCCGCCATGCCGCTCTATCCCCGACGTGCGCCGGTAGCAGCCATCGCCCAGCCCGGTCTCAGCCGCCGCCGCCGCCGCCGTCAATCGGGGGCATTTCACAGCTGACGTATAAAAAACATCCGCCAGGATCGCGGGAGGGAAGGCGTGGGCGGCCGGGCGTTTGGGCGGAGCCCGTCAGGTGCGGTCGGCCGGCCTCCACCAATTAGCCGCCGTCCCCGACCGGACAAACACCGCCGGCGGTCCGGCGCGGTCCGGCGCCGCCGCCGCCGCTGCCGGCCGCCCGCCGAGCGCGGCCGACGTCCGGCCTTGCGAGGCCGCTGGCACGGCCCGGCGCCGGCGCCGGCGGCGGAGAGCGATCACCGCCGGCCGCGTCCGTCTCAGCCGCGCCACACGGCCGTAATTGAGATCAAGTAGGAGCGCAAAAAAATCACCCGAAGTCGAAAGGATGGCCGACGAGTGCGTTGGCCTCAGATGACCTGGGTCGGTCGTCCGTTTAAACCACGCATCCGAGAACTCGTATCTGAACATAAAGTCTTCGAGCTAAAACAGCACGGACTACCTCGGCGCGCGGTGCGCATGAAGCATATGTTTAAAAGCATGCAAGACTATGGGAACATAGCCGAAGCCTGCCATGATCTGAAGTCCAAACATGCAGGGCAAACCGGAGCTCACGGCGAGGCATTGCACTCGCCAGTCAGTCATGCTTCAGTCCCTGTCAATCTTCCTCTCTAGCTGTCACATGGACACGCTGTAGTGATTTCAAGACGGACCGTTATATCATGTGGGAGATGCGTCTTGTTCATGCTTTATCACCACCATACTTCATCACCACCACAGACTGTCATGACTGTATCTCGCCGCGTTCCATCGCGCGAAGCTGGATCGAATGCATACAAAAACCGTGAAAGGAGGCTGCCCATCGTCGGGTGTGAAGGCTTAATGACGAGCCCAACGCAAGATAACAGGAGATCGAGCGGCAGTAAACAAATATTAAACACCACCGTTTAAATATTCATGAACCGTCAATGTTCCGACGCAACCAAAACAAAATGCCCGAAGACGGTAGAAGCGAGGGCTATAATCTACTGAGCCCCGCAAACATCGCCGATTATGAATAATGGGCCACACGCGGTCACTGACACCGCCTGAGACGGAAATACAACAGAATTGGGCACACTTCACAGCCCACGCGGAATCCCACTATTGTCATTAAAAAACCGCTTTATGAGGGCCGTACTGCAACGTCAAAGAGCCGCATCGCGGCACGATCGGGCCTCTTCCGCATTGCCCGTGGTCGCCGTTTCCAGCGGGCCTCATAAAGCACCACCACCGAGGGAACCACGGCAGTGGCCGCCCTGCTCTGAGAGCTGCCGACAGCGAAACGGGCCGGCGCACGCAGCCGGGCGCCGACGGCCGGGGCATCCCGCTGGCTGATCTGGTCCAGCGGCGGCTGCCGCGTGATGGGTGGACCAGCGATAGCTCAGCCCTGGCGCAGGGCGGTCCGGAGGCGGCTGGACCTCGGTCCGGTCTCGTCCGACGGCACCCCGCCCGGAGCGCCGGGGTGGCAGATGAGCCCCAGCCCAGCATGGTCCTCAGCGGGAGCTGAGCCTCCCGAGTCTGACCGTGGCCCGGAGTGGCCGCATCCCTTGCCAAGTGACGGGTTCGGCCGCGGCGTCGGCCGCCGCCGGACCCGTCAGCCGTCAGCCGGCGGCCGGCGCGGTCAGCGGCCTCCAGCGGCGCGCCAGCGGCACGGCACGGCACGAGCCGGCGGCGCCCCCGGCTGCAGACACGCTCTGCAAGCCGTAACGGCGGCCGCTCGGCCGGCCGGCGGGTCATCGCGCCGCCCTCCGCCGCCGCACCGTTACCGATGACGCGCCGCCGCCCCCGCCGGTCCCACGCGCGCGCGCGCGCGCCGCCCGGCGCCGGGCCTGACGCGTCGCGCCCGCCGGCGACGGCGCACGCCGGCGGCCGCCGACGCGCGGCGGACCCGATTAATTTGGCGGCGGAATGAGGCGCCGGCGGCCGACGTAAAGGCGGCCCGCGGCGGCGGTACGCGTAATGACGCCGACGCAGACCGGACGCGGATGGTGACGGCCGCCTCGCACGCCACACGCCCGCCGGCTGGCTGCGGCAGCGGCCGGCCGCTGTCAACCGGGCCCCGTGGACAGGGGTGCGCGGAGCGTGAGTGGTCAGTAATGACGATGTCCTCGCGTTATTGGAGACAAAAAACCGGATACATTCACCGTCTTCGTGAGGACGGCTGTTTCAAACATGCTCAGTAATTTCCGAATATTCGAAGGGGTCATTTGGTCGCCATGGCTTTTGTCATTCATGCCTATGATTATAAGGTGTTATGGTTCTGGTTGGGGTGCAGTTTCCTCATCTGCTCCAACACTAGGGCTTAGGACATTCTGTGGACAGGATTAACTGGACATGCAATGTTTCATCACTAGCATTGAACAAGCTCTATTCACAAGTCTTCGGAATTGAGGAAAGGTCCTGTCAATAGCTGTGCAGGCAAAACGGTAGTCATCCAACCATTGTCAAGGACACGCGTTTTCCATTTCGTGTTATGCCGGTCTCCTCTCAAACAGCCGCATTTTATCTGTCGCAGCGAATTAATCCGTTCCTTCCGCAACGTCAGAATACAGCCATCCAAGACGTAAAAGCTAGCTATGTATCTTAAGTTAGCTAGCGTTGCAACAGCCTTAATACTTAATGAGGATCCCAAATGCTTTCGCCGGCCGATTTCAGCCGAGGTTGGAGTGCTTGCATCGCGTCGAAAGTCCCTTTATCAAGCACAGTCTACCGAGCCGGCACTGTTTGCCAGCTCCTTCGCTTACTGATTATTTGACACGTCTGGTTTACAGCCAGGTGCTAATTGTTACAAGACAAATAACATCCCGCACTAATTACCCGCCCGGCGCATCTCGCACAAATCAGAGAAACGTGTGATTCTTTCCCGCACCAGATGTCATCGCAGAGCGATAGAACTATCAGGCCTAGTGAGATCTCACATTTAACATGAATGTCACGCGTAAGAGGCAGAACCAGCGAGAGAGCACCTCCGGACCAAAATCAAGAACGTGTAACACGACGATTTACGTCTCTCGATTTATTTTCGGTGCGTGTCGTAACAACGTTCGTAACTAGCATCCGAAACATGCATAAGTTGTAATAAGATCGAAATTTAGAAAATGACGTAATATTCTTCACGAAAACGGAAGCGTAACGAAGACCACGCAACAGCAACGCATCAACCGCAAGCAAGAAACGGCTGCATTAACATATTTACACCAAGTCCGAGACTGGCATTGCATTAGGAACGCTTCGTCTAACGCATCCCATTGCATCCACTTTGCCGCACGTTACTTTACGACCACTTCTCAACAGTGGGCAATGAGACACACACGCACAGCAGATGTCTGACGTATTAGCTAACGCTCGGAGCTGCCAATTTGCGTCCGGGCGGCCCTGCGCCGAACAGAGGCGGCCGGCCCGCTGTGGTCGCCATCGCGGTCACCGGCCCCTGCACAGGTGTGAAGCAGCTCACGGGCGCCGCTCTGCGGCCGGCGGCCGGGCCTCCAACACCTGGGACCGGAGACAGCTTCACTGGCGGCGGCGGCGCGGCCGGCCGACCGCGGCGGCAGGTGTGGGCAGACGCGCCGGCGTCCGCGGCCGCGGCCCGCGCCGACCGCCGACCGCCGTCGGGGCAGGGCGGCACACCGCCCCGTCAGGCCGCCCCGGCGTCGGCACGAGCTTCGGGGCAATCTCCAACAGCTCGCCTCGCCGCTCGTGAGATGCACAAGCGAGGCTCTGCGCGGAACATCTGCGTGACTGTGACTATTACCAGCGTACACCGTACGGCGACGCGCCGCCGCCTCCCACTAGGCTCGTCCCCTGCCAAGCGCCAAGCGCCCTAATCAGCGACTGCGACGCTGACCAGCAGACGAGCAGCGCTCGTCGGGCGGAGACCGCCGCTCGCATCAGACACGAACACCAGCCAGCCGAAGCCCGCCGTTAACCGTGAACAGGCCGCGGTTCACGCACGGGTCGAGCGGCGCACGGCCGTCCCGACTGCCCACCGTGCCGTGCGCGCGCCGGCCGGCCAGCGCGTGGCGCGAAAGCAAGAGCGGCGCCGGCGGCGGGCGGCCCGTGCGGCGTGTGGCGGCGCACCGTTAAGCCGCAGGCGGAGAGCGAGAGCGGTCACGACTGGGTCGCAGGGCCGGCCGAGCCGCGCGCGGCCCGGCGCCGCCACCGCCGCCCACTCTCACTGCCGGCCACGGCGGCCGTTGCACGGCTGACAGCGGCCGCCCGGCTCGGGAGTCGGTCCCGCACCGGGAAGTCCCGTGTTCGAGTTGCGCCATCGGAGGCTGTCACTAGGAGCGGATTTCACCACCAGTAGTGATACTCACGGGTTAAGCACTTACATACGTTCATAAAAGCGTAGACATTCGTGGTATACCGCCAAATTACGCCACGGCGCCGCGTCCGAGCCGGAAGCGTCACACGGCCTCTGCGTTCCCAGAGTTCGCTGCGTGCGGCCAGCAGTTCTGAGGTGCAGTACATGGACCCTGCGGGGAGCTGTCGAGTACGCCCCGACAGTCTACCACCCTCAGCCGCCGATCTCATCTGTAGCCTCATTGCAATGTGGCCTGTTTCACCTTCCATCGGGACTGGCGCAGGACGAGACACATGCCTGCATGGACGCCCCACTAAGTCCGCCCCATTATCCGTCTGGTTGCAGTGCACGATGAGGACCGCCGTCCTGCTGCTGGTGTGCGGCGCGGCGCTGGCCGCCGCCCAGAGCGAGGAGTGCGCCGAGGAGGACGTCAGCTTCGAGCTGGTCACCGGCTACGTGTACAGCGCGCCGGCAGACATGCTCGACTCGCGGGCCGGTACGCTCATGCTCACCGAGTGCATCGACATGTGCCGCAGCAACGCCACCTGCCAGGCCTTCAACTACGAGACCGGCCTCTGCGTGCTCATCGACTCCACCGCTGACGGCCAGGAAGGTGGGTGGAGCCGCTGACAGCGCGCGGAACGGCTCTCCGGGGTCTGCGCTCGGCGATTGTCCGGGACGGGCCTCCGAGGGTCTGTGTCTGGCGGCGCGCGGGACGTGGCTCCGAGGGTCTGTGTTCGGCGGCCGTCGGGGGACGGGCCTCCGAGGGTCTGGGTCCGGCGGGCAGCGGGGACGGGCCTCCGAGGGTCTATGTCCGGCGGCGGGTTGGTGGGACGGCGACGCCCGCGTCCGCTGCCACCGGAAGCTCCACGCAGCGTCGTGTCGCCACTGTCGTGGTCGGGGTCCACTATCCGTAAAGTGCGGCAGACATGCGAAGACCGGTGAAGGGGGCGGCCAAGGGGCGCAACCCCGCCCGCACAAAAACAAAGCCCCGTAGCCGGGCGAACAAATAACCTAAACGATTAGCCGCCGCTGCCCATACTGGCAGTCGTGAAACTCGCCTAATTACGGACGCCGCGCGGCTTTTTGCAAGGTCAGGGATGACGTACTGCACACCACGGGCGATAAGGTTCATTTGCACATGCTGCCAGCTCATGAAGTTCGGAGTCGCACGGTCCAAACACTCGCGTCATGCTACCGATGCTACAGGTAACTGCTTTATGCGGAGCCACACTTGAAACGTTTGGCTTAACGCACACCACAGGGCCCATCTCACAGTTTGTCTCCGTAAAGAGTTCGGTCTGTATACATAAGGCAGTGTTTCGACTCGATCTGGTCGCCACGCCCCTGTCGCTCGAGCCCGCCATCCCATTCGTACCTCGCACACGCCTGCAATCCCAGCTGGCGACCGCGTCCGGTCCCAGCAGGACAGCAGGACGGCGCGGCAGAGAGACGCGCCGTCGCCGCCGCCAGGATCGCGGCTCACCGCTGCCCGCATCGCTCGCAGCCCGGAGCGTCCTGCGACCGCGTCGCTCGACGCAGTTAATGACGTCCGCGTTAATCACACGAGGCCAAGAGGTGTAATTTCATTATGCGTTTTCTCACCGCTGAGAACGCAGGCCTGTGGTCCACGCGGGCGGGTCACGACCAGGACAGTCGGCTGCTGCGGGTCTGTGGCCTGACCGGAGCGACAGTTAATGACCAGGACGCCGGCTGAGGGTCTGCGGTCTGAGCGAGTCCACAGGTCGTGGCCGGGGGCGACCGGGGATCGCGCCCGGCCTGCGGTCTGACAAGGACCGGCCGGTCGTGACCAGGATACCGGCCGCCGTTCTGCGGTCTGATCGGACCCTGATCGGACCAGCGTGTCAGGACCGGGACCGCCAGCTGCGCGCCCGCGGCGCGGCTGCGGCCAGCCGCCGTCTCTGCGGCGGCGCCGGCGGTCCGGCGTCTCTGCGGCGCCGGCGGCGGTCCAGCCCGCCGTAACTCGCCCGTCATTGAGCTCGGAGAGCCGTTCGTCACCGAGCTCGGCAGCTGGGCCGAGTAGGTCGGCGACGGCCCGCTTCATCACGAACAACTAGAGCGGAAGCCGCCGCCGCCGGCGAGCGAGGCGGCGGACGCGTCCTTGGAGCACGGCCGCCGGCAGCTCTGACGCCGCGGCGGACTCCCGCCGGTCGAACCGCAGTCCAGCGTGAGAGGACGTAGACGCTCCGCGGACACAACCGCCGGAGTTGTACAGCGGTCCGCACGTAAGCCCGGCGCGTCATGAGCGGTGTGGCGGCCTTCGAGAGCCTGCCTGGTGAACATCCGCGAGAATCCTGAACCCGAGGACATACATGCCTAGGGCCGATTCCGACTAGGATAGTTCAGAGTCCATTCCACGCTATTCATCCCGCCGAAATAGCCGGCCGCCGGGGCGAATGCTTCATACGAGACCGCCACAGTCCTCAGCAGCCCGCTCACGGCCCCGTCGCGCATGGCAACAACCGTTCGGGGACGGCGCAGGACGTTCACTGCCCATGTACGATAAGAATGCATTGTGGCCGCGGACCGAAAATGCGACGCAGAATGCTCCGAATTCGTCAAAACGGGCATTACGGAAGTCCCGTGCTGAGACAGGCCCAGGATGCGTCTTAGAGGGCTACCGCTGTACGCGCCGCACACAGCGCGACGGCCGCGGGTCAAGCGTCGCGTCCGGGCCGACCCGGTCCGAGGATCCGGGCTGAACGCTCGCGGCGCCGGGGGCCGGGCCAGCGGCACGCACGCCCCAGCTCGCCCGGCGCGGTCCGGTCCACAAAAAGCGCGCGCCGCGGCGGCGGCTCCGTTACGCAGCTGCCCGCCTGCACGCGCCGCTCCGGGGCCGCGGCCGCGGCCGCCGGGCCCACCGACGGATGCACGCCGGCCGGCCGTGAAACGGAGTGAAACGTATCATTTCACGGCCGAGGCCGACCGCTCCCGCGACTAATGCCGGGCCACTCACGCGACCGGCCGCGCGCCGCCGGCCCGGCGTGGGAGCACTGCGGCCCACACCCGAACCGAGCCCGCCGCCGGCGGTCCGGGCGGCGACGGACACCTGTAATCTGACGGTGCTCGGGGCCTGCGGTCCGGGCGATGCTAGCGGTCCGATATCAGGAGACATCAGGAACTTGGGACCGAGGGTGGCACTCGGAATCGAAGATGCACGCGGTCCTTCGATGCTGTAATCCCGATGCCAGCGTTTAACTTTGCGCCAAGGTGGCATGAAGGCAGTCACATCCGACTTGGGTATCCAGGCGGGACTCGCGCCACGACTGCGAGGAACTGCTGCAAGACGACATATCAAACATCGCGACCGAGACGATACTTCCTGGCCCAGTGGAGAGCAACGGACTTCCCGTAAGCGCCCCGAGCGGACCACCGGACACCGGCGTCAGCATCCAGCCTCAGCTAGCGCGGAAGCGCCCCGGACTAGCGGGCCCGCGCGCGATCACTAATGGTGACGTTCGGTGCGGCTCTGACCGCCGTCCGGGGGAGAGGACAGCGCAGCGGCGCGGCGCGGCTCGCCGTAACGGTCAGCGCCGGCGCGACGGCCGGCGTGACGGCGGCTCGACAGCGCGGCCAGCTGGGGCGCGGCCCGGCACACGGGCCCGCTCTGGGAGACGGGGCGGCGCCGGTCGCGGCTGGCTGCGCGCCCAGCAGGTGGCCGCGTCTCGGCCGGCGACGCAACGGGACCGGCCGCACCGTGACCGACGGTCAGCCGAGCAGCCCGCCTCGAATGACGCCGAGAGCGTTTAAAAATAACTTACCGTTGACAGCGGCACAATTAGACCGTTCTCTGCGCCACATATCACGGGGCTGCCGGCCCCAGTGGCGGACCGTGACCACTGTTAGCTTTGCGCCGCCAGGCGCTATGAAAAAAGTATAAAAGCTCGACGCAAAAACGACTGCATGGCTAGCTAGAACAATCACCGGGTCCGAGTTGTTTGGAAGTCACGACCTGATAAATCAGCACGGCCATAGCTGACGCAACCCACCGCTACTGTGCCTGCGGTTCCTTCCGAGCTCTTGCCTCTCCGTGCATGCTCGCCAAACCGTCAGCTGACGTTCACGGTACCCGCCCTTCTGGCCGCGGCGGGAGGAAGGCGACGCCCTATAGCCTCAGCTGAGGAGTGCGTTGTTAAGCCCCAATGACAACAACCCAATGGCTAAGCCCAGTGGGAGACCCTGCATCGTCTAAGTTGGACAACGACATCGTCTGATCCGAACTTTCGATCGGCTCACGGGTAACACTAGAAGGGACACCCAGAAGCGCGCCGTCCGAAAGCAGTAGACTCCACGCCGGTCGGTTGTTCTTTCCCAGTGTCTGACGGCCGCAGAACAGGGCGACACCGTGTCCACAGTGCCGCGCTACAGTGGCAGACTCTGATCCGTGACGGGGCCGCGCGCACGCGGCTCCCAAGCGGGGCAGGCGGCAGCGCACCGTGACCCCGGCCCTCTGCAGGCCGATCAGCCGCGCCACCCCGCGGGAGCCGGCCACTCGGACCTCCGCCGCTGGGCGCTGGCGAGCCGGCGACGGGCGGTCAGTCCTCAGGTCCGTCACGTGGCCGCCGGTCGAGCGCGGACACCGCTCGCAGCACGAGCGTCCGCCCTGCCCGGCCGGCTGGCAGTGGGCAGGTCATAAGCCACGCCCAGCCGGCGGCACACTGCGGGTCGCCAGTCGGTTGTGCCCAGGAATGAGATGGCGAGCAGACCAGTGAGACTGTGGTGAGATCGCGAGCAGACCAGCGAGACTGTGGTGCTTTTTCATTGCCTCGCGAGTTCCAAATCCAAAGACCTCAAACCTTAGAAGGCGCACGAACTTCCCACGGCGCGACTGACACCTCTTGGTCGCAGTCCGACACCTTCCCGACGCGATGAGCCCGAGCTGACCTCACCTCGGACGCCCTGACCTCGCCTCGGACTCCCCGACCCCAGCTGGCCTCGCCTCGGACGCCCTGACCTCGCCTCGGACACCCCGACCCCAGCTGGCTTTGCCTCGGACGCCTTGACCTCAGTGCGACCTTGCTTTAGACGCCCTGATCTCAGCCTGATTGTAGTCTGTCCCGCCTCACACGTCTGACCGCATTCTGCACACGTTTCAGATGCGTTGACCAAGTCGCAGTTCCCGGTGTTCACCATGTACGTGCAGAAAATGTGCTACGCCAACGCGCCGCGCTGCCGCAGCGCCTGGGCCTTCGAGCGCGTGCGCGGCTTCGCCCTCAAGGGACTGACCAAGAAGACGGTGACGACCGAGACCCGCCTGGCCTGCCAGGAGGCGTGCCTCTCCGAGACAGAGTTCATCTGCAGGTGAGAGGATGGGCTGGGCCGCGCCTGAGGCGGCCGCCCCGGTGGTGCGCCGCAGACGGAGTGCGGTGAGTGCGGCGTCGCCACACCACGCAAGACAGGGCATGCCCTGTGCCGCGTTTAATGTGCAACAGATCTTACAATGAGACGTGCATTGTGGTTAATCTTCGGGTGGACAACGGGAAACGCGAGGCCATCGTCCAAAATTTGGGGCAGCTTTGGGCAGCAAATGTTTTCAAAAGTAAACCTGACCTTCAGGTCGGCAAGCAAATGCAACGCGGCGAAAGCATGCCTTTTAGGATTCAACTGTTCATAGAATGCTAATCCATGTATCTTACATCAGTATTTTAGCAGGCATCACAAGTCATGTAACAAATGCGGCGTGAATAGGCATAAAACACAAACAAAGACGACACACCCACTCTACAGCACAGTTCCGCTGCACTTAAGTCGCGCACGGCTGAACGAATAGGAGTGAAATGCAAAGGTCCCGCTAGCGCGAAGAGGAAGCGAAGAGAGCAGTCCACGCGGTAGCCCAAGCCAGACGTTTGTCGTGCGTAGGAAATGACTGTCGACGACCGCTAACGGTCTGCCGTGATTTATATCGTAATAAAGTGTTTCCTGCGCCACTCGGCATTCATGAGCGCGGCATTTGAATGAGGGGCCGCGTCACCCTGCCGCGTCGCGATGCGCCGGAGCGCGGCCAGGTCTCGCCAGGCGGCGCAGATAAGGAACGCGGGGCTGCTCAGCGAGCAATCGGCGCCGCAGAACCGGCGCGGCGGAACGGGCGCCGGTCGCCAGATGGGGCTGATGCGACCGGCCGGCCGGGACCCGGCATCACGCGCGCGTGCGCCGCCAGATGACCCCGCAGCCTGCGTGTCATCGGGTCATCGGTGGCTTCACGTGCGGCCAGCGCGCGCGGCGGCCGGCGGAGCCGCCGGTCCCCGCCAGCCGCCGGACTCCCAGCCGGTCCGGGGAACGCGAGCCTCGAGCCGGTCGGCCGGGCACGCCGGGACGCGCGGCGCCTCGCGCCGTCCCGCCGCAGGCTCCGGTCGGGTGCGGGCGCGAGCGTTAGTCAACGGACTGGGTTTTGCGTCCGGCTACAGTCCCGGAGACTTGCGGTACTGTGCGCGGCAGCACGGCGAATCTCAGCTAACGGCTGCCGCGCAGGCGGCTGGCCGGCGAGCGACCGCACCACTCAGCGGGCCGGCCGGGAGAAAACACCGGCGCCTAATTACGGCTGGTGTCATTTGTAAACACGGACCGGGAGCGTAATCAACGGCCTCGATTCACACGAGACATTACCTATAGAATTCGCCCGCACTTCGTTCGTTAGCACCGATACGCTCTTTGTCAAAGCCGAAAATAGCGCGAGCCCGCAGCGTTCGTTACGCGAGGCCGGCGGATCAGGTCACGAGTGCGGAACAGGTCGCCAGCCTGTTCCCCAGGTCAGGTCAGGTCGCCAGCGTCTAACAGCGCGCCCCGCTGTCCGGCAGGTCGGCGTCGTACACGGCCGAGACGTCCGAGTGCCAGCTGTCGGACATGGACCGGCACACGAGCGCCAGCATGGGCGCCTTCCAGGAACAGGAGGGCACCGACTTCCTGGAGAACAACTGCGTCGACGAGCCGGTCAAGCTGTGCGAGTTCCAGGGGCTGGAGGGCCGGATTCTGAAGACGGTCGACTCGGTGCACCAGCAGGTGGAGACGATCGAGGAGTGCCGCGAGCTGTGCCTGGCGGCCAACTTCCGCTGCCACACGTACGACTACGGCGACACGGGCGACAAGGTCTGCCGGCTCAGTCACCACGCCGTGGCCACGCTCAGGCAGATCGAGGAGGCGTACCTGGAGATCCCCGGCTCCACCAGCTACGAGCTCAGCTCCTGCTACAACGTCACCATCGACTGCCGCGCCGGCAACATGGTCGCCCACATCAAGACCAGCAAGCTCTTCAGCGGCAAGGTCTACGCCAAGGGCAACCCCAACACGTGCGTCACCGACGTGAACAACAGCCTGGAGTTCGAGCTGACCATGGGCTACAGCGACCTCGAGTGCGACGTGAAACGCGACGGGCCGGGCAAGTACCACAACGACGTGGTGCTGCAGCACCACGACCGCATCGTCACCTCGGCCGACCTGGGACTCAGCGTGCACTGCCAGTACGACCTGAGTAATAAGAGCGTCAGCAACGCTGTCGACCTGCAGGTCAAGGGCGACATCCAGCCGGTGCTGGAGGAGCAGGCGGTGGTCGACTCGCCGAACGTGCTGATGCGCATCACCGACCCGGACGGCAGCGAGGTGCAGGCGGCCAGCGTCGGCGATCCGCTCAGCCTGCGCTTCCAGATCGTCGACCCCATGTCGCCGTACGAGATCTTCGTGCGCGACCTGGTCGCCATGGACGGCTCCAACAACAACGAGATCCTGCTGATCGACGCCGACGGCTGCCCCACCGACGAGAGCATCCTGGCGGCGCTGCTGCGCGTCAACGACACCAAGCTGCTGGCGTCCGCCTTCGACGCGTTCAAGTTCCCCACCTCGGACGTGGTGCAGTTCCGCGCGCTGGTCACGCCGTGCCTGCCGCGCTGCGAGCCGGCCGTCTGCGACGTGCGCGACTACGCCGGCAGCCTGCGTCAGACCGAGAGCTACGGTCGGCGCCGGCGCAGCCTCGACCGCGTGCGCCGCGACGTCGAGGAGGAGGAGCTGCTCGTCGTCCAGTCGATCCGCATCAGCGACAAGTTCGGCGCGCGCCGCGGCGCCGCCGCGCAGCCGGCGGCCGAGGGGCGGCCGGACGCGCCGGCGGTGGCGACGGCGCCCGTCGCCGGCTGCCTCAACACCACCGGCCTGCTGGTGGGCGGCTCGCTGCTGGTGCTGGCGCAGCTGGCGCTGCTGGCCGCCGCGCTGCTCGTCTGCCGCCGCCGCCGCGCCAAGAACGCCCAGCACTATCCGGACAGCAGCGGCAGCAGCCTGGCGCAGCTCTACGACTCGGGCTACTCGACGCGACGCGCCTGAGCGCAGCGCCGCCGCCGCCAGACGCCGGCCGGGCCTGGGTCGGCCAGCAGGGCATTCACGCGTGCCGACCGCCCGGCACCAGAGACGGGCGCCACGGCCGCGCCGGCCGACAGGTCGGCCAACCTCAGCCAGCATTACCACGGCATTGCCGTTCGCGGGGGCATTGGGGGCGGGCTCGCTAGGGGCCGCCGCGCCGCCGCGCCGACGGCCCTCAACTGCCGAGCGCCCGCGCGACCGCCGCCGCCGGCGGCTGACTCTGTACAATATCTGTGATCTGGTGCTCTTCCTCACAGCTGACAGCCGGCGGTGGGTATTCGAGCCCGCGCCCAGGCGCTTCTCCACTGGCTCCGCGGGCTCGCTGGAGACGCCGCCTTGGTGTCGCTCGAATGCACCGCCTTGGCGTAACGCACAAATCAGTTGACGTGTCTGTAGTGGACGCCGACGAGCAGCCCTGCATGCTCTGGAGCCGTTCCGGTTCGTGTGACGTTCTGTACGTGAGTGGAGGTCATCAGCTGTTGAAGCGTTCGTGAAGCGATTCGTGGGTGTAAATAAATCGTTTACATTTAACTGGGTGTTGAGAACGTTGCTAATGTATCAACATTAGTGTCACGTGATTTAAGCACGAGGCCATGAAACACGACATCTATTAGGACAGGTTCTAGTTAACATGCCGCCTCCCCTTTCGTCCCTAACAACGCGTTTAGAATATTGTTCCAAAACAACTGCATTGGTAGCAGCACTATGCATTATACTGCGCCGAAAGGATGGAATCGCACGCGGCAGGAAAACAAACACAGCACAGCGGCGGGAATGCCTCGCCACGGCCGAGTTCACCCATGAAAAACGTCCACGTAACAGACGGACAAACAGCGCGGCAGGCTTGACTACGCCGATTTGTCTTCGACCAACTCTCAGCTGCGCTGAGGAGTCGGCGGCCGGCGCGGTCGACCGACGCCGGACAAAGTGAGCGCCGCGCCGCGCGCCACGCGCCGTAGCCGCCCATTCAGCGCCGGCGGGCCGCGCGGGGGGAGGGGGGGGGGGGGGGCTGGGACGCCGCCCTCTCACGGCCGCGCACCGCCGGCGCGACGGCGTCGCCTCGGCCGGCGACAAGAGGCGGGTCGGAGCGCCGAGCCCGCGGCGCTGCGCTCGGATCGGCGCGGCGGCGGCGCGGGTTATGGCGACGGTTGGACGAGGGCTCACTGAGGCCCGCCCAGCGTGTCGCATTAGCGTGACCGCAAGAAAGCGACGTGCGACGTGGATCGTTGCTGGGTGCCACTGCAGCAGCCCGCGACCACCCATTTCCTTGTCGGAAGACGCCGGTGGTGATAACGTTCCGTAGCAGCCTTTCGTCGCGCCACAGCTGATTTCTACTGGAGCGTGCATCTCACATGTTACGTTTCTGTCATGCCATTGCATTAAGCGAACGACCAAGCTGAAAGTAGCTGAGGTTGATGATATCTATTCGACGTGTAATTCGATACCAATTCACATAACTACACAATTAGGTTACGATGTGTGAGAAGTGTTCCCGCTCCAATGAGCCCCAGACCGAGACTGCTGCACGGTAGCTGGTTTCCTTCGATGCATGACTATCTTAATTAAAACAACGGCTCTTTCTCTCCGTAAGTGATCTCGCTCCGTTACCACCAAGACTGAAAGCATTTCTGTTTTATTTTCCTTCCACTCTTGCCGTTGTCACCGTCCTTGGGCCTTTACGACGCGCCCAGCCGCTGAGGCTGTACGGCGTCGCATGCCTTTCACCCTGGCAGGAAGGGTGGTCGCCGTGGGGAGTGCTCTTGCCATTGTTAATTTGTTGACCGTTATACGTTGTTCTCGCCGTTGTTCCACATGTTACTGAACATATGATGGTATCCACTTTATTCTTCTCGCACGTGCTTGATGACAATAATGACGGTGATGCCGAGCCAGATGCTAAAAGTTCTCCACCAACAAGCCGCGTTCGCTTGAACACAGGATACCGGTCGGCCACTGCACCATGGCTTGCCGCCGTTACAGCGCTCCGGTACCCCGTCCGGCAGAGATCCCCGCCCGGCGCTGCTGACCGGCGGTGCGAGCCGTGCGGCAGCCCGCCTGCGAGCGTGGCTATGCACCGCACCGCCCGTCCAGCGGCCGCGGCTACACCACGCCTCTGGCACGTCGCTGCTCGGCGCGGCAGCTGCCCACATTGCTGGCACCGACCAGGCCCAACAGAACGCGGTCCCGTCGGCAGCCGCGTGCCTCGAAGCCACGTGCCCCGAACACGGCAGCCACGTGCCCCGAGCACGACGCGGTCCCGTCGGCAGCCACATGCCTCGAGCACGACGCGGTCCCGTCGGCAGCCACGTGCCTCGAGCACGACGCGGTCCCGCCGGCAGCCACGTGTCCCGAACACGACGCGGTCCCGCCGGCAGCCACGTGCCTCGAGCACGACGCGGTTCCGTCGGCAGCCACGTGCCTCCAGCACGACGCGGTCCCGCCGGCAGCCACGTGTCCCGAACACGACGCGGTCCCGCCGGCAGCCACGCGCCTCGAGCACGACGCGGTCCCGCCGGCAGCCACACGTCCCGAACACAACGTGGTTCCATCGGCAGCCGCGCGCCTCGGAGCCACGTGCCCCGAACACGGCAGCCACGTGCCCCGAGCGCGACGCGGTCCTGTCGGCAGCCACGAGCCCCGAACACGACGCGATCTCGTCGGCAGCCACGTGCCCCAACACGACGCGATCCCGTCGGCAGCCACGTGCCCTAACACGACGCGGCGCACCACCATGGCCGGAGCGCCAGCGGCACGACGGCGACGCCGGTTCGGAGGCGCAGGCGGGGGACGGGGGGACGCGCCGGGGCAGGCGACGTCCGCCTACCTTCAGCCGGAAGTCGGAGACGCCCCAGACGCGACTGGCCATGTCGTTGTCGGCGGCCAGCACCAGGTTCTCCTCGTCGTCGAACGTCACCGAGTTGATGGCCCGGTTGCTGCCCAGGTACTGGCCCATGCACTGGTGCTGACCTGCCGGTGGAGAGCGTGGCTTTCGACGAGACGTTGGCACGCATCGCAAGCCGGCGCTCGACACCATGTGAGTAGTTTTAATATCAGACATCGTTATTTTAGAGGTCATTTATACAGCTCGATCCTGGCACGAAGGAACGCTGCATTTGGAGCAACATACAATCCTCTATTGTTTCATCAGCCGCAATTCGGCGCGCCATGACATGTTACGGGACACAGCAGTGAAGGCCTGCTATGGATGAGAGGTCATTAGCTTAGCTCCCAGTGTCATCTCTGAGTCCTTCAATGTACAACGAACGAACCTTTATCATATGTGCATATAATGATTCATATGAAGTTGACATAATGACAAGCATTCAAACACACCAATGCTCCCTAGCAAGACAAAATGAGTAACATTCACATAACACCGATAGCGAAATTGTCGTACTGACAACCACACGGGCCGAGTGGGCTTTGGCTGGCTGTGTAAGGCCGCTGTGGAGCGGAGCGGAGCGGGTCGGGGCGGGGCGGGGTGGGGCGGGCCGTCCCCGTGGGCACGCACCTCTCAGTACAGTCCAGAGCTTGACTTTCCTGTCTCCGCCGCCGGAGGCCAGCAGTCGGCCGGAGGGGCTCCAGCAGAGGGCGTTCACTTCACTCTCGTGCGCGTCCTGCGCAGAAGGGGCGCGCCGGTCAGGCCGCGGCGCCGGCGGCGGCCCGGCCGGCCACTGGCTGGGTCACCGGTCACTGGATGAGCCGGCCAGACCCGGCTCACCGTCACAGGTCAGGCGGACAGGAGTGAGGATCGCGAACGGCCACGGCGTCAACGCGCGGCCCGACCGGGACACCCCAGAACCCTATCCGAAGACGCTTCAGAAAAAGACAGCTCCTCGCAGTGCACGGGGGATAAACTCGAGGGTGCCAGTGCAGAAAAGGCTCCCAGCAGTGGACAATCCCTCGGACCAGCTCACCGAGGGTTCAACACGCACTTCGTTCCGAATGGCACCACGAGAATCCAGCGACCGTGGACGGCCTACCCGGCTGACAGTGGACGCCAGCGACGCGGGGTGCGTTCTCAAGCGGTACCCCCAACAGCTACAAAGCAGGGGAAAGGGGAGGGACCCCAACCATTTGTGATGAGACGGGCACAGGGGCCTGCCCTTGCCCCCTGTCATGGGTGGCTGAGACCGGCTGAGACACTCACAAAGCTGACGATACATTTGGAGGGCAGCGCCGACTCGATGCAGACGGGCAGGCGGCCCGTCTCCGGCTCCACCACCACCTCGTCCCGCGTGGCGTCCTCTAGCTCGCGCTGTACCTGCAGCTGGCGCCGCCTGGTGACGCCGCGCCGCGTCACGACACGCCTCAGTTGCCCAGCCGCCAGGAAGAAGCTCAGGAAAGTGAGACCGGCTGGCGTTCCGACGCTTCACGAGCATTTCGGCCGCACGACGAAGTCTGAGCTGCACTGGGTGAAGTGGGCCGATTTTGCCTCAGGGGAACAGGTCGTTGATATCGGTATCGCAATAGCTTTCCCGAGGGAGTTTTGCAAGTGAAGTTACTGCAAGCGAAACGTTCTCTATCACCAATCCACACCATCATCACTCGAAGCATTTGTGATGAGTACCGAATGCGGCCGAAGTGTCCGAGACTGACAGCGAGACAACAAATGTACCATTTACCTCGCCAACGGACGTGAGTATGGGGACAGAAAGGCCCAGCAGCGTCCGGAACGCCGACCACACGACGGAGGCGGCGTGACCAGCACACCACGCAGCTGCCCATTTGAAGCAAAGCGTGCTGCGAAATACATAACCACGAACTGCCAAGGCAGAAGACATGCAGCCCTCTGGTAAACTTCCCCTGGTGGCTGCCACCTCACCGCACGAAATCCTCATTTTCAGCATTCAT